GTGCTGCGGCAGGTGACAACCTGAGCATCAGCATCGGCACTCATCATCATCAGAATGATCATCCCCACCATAATAACGGAATTGTTTATACCTCAGCACAAATTGACGAAAAGTCAAAATGTAAGTTAATTAGTGTATCCATTTGGAATTCAATTCATTTTTCATTTAATATATGTATGCACATACATATGTACATATGTCCATATAAAATATTAGATAAGTCTAACAAAAGTGTAATATAGCAGCAAATATGCAATACAGTACACATGTATTAAAATATCTAATCATCACAACAGTTTTTAAAGGATAAATGCTCATGCAGTACATAAAAAGAATAAATATTTAATTCTCTTTACATTAACATTTCAAGTTTACAAAGGTTGGTCAGCAGAAAGAGAACTTGATAAAACTACACTGCTGGATAAAACTGAGGACGGGAGTGAGCATCGCTTGACTAAAGAACAATAGCGAAAAATCGCTGCTACTGCTGGCCGAAAGCTTGGGGTGGGGATTGCGATTTGCCGTTTTTTATTTCCTGTCCTAAGATTTAGTCAGATGCGACCTGTTGTCGCCGAATTCGATTATTCGGCTGGTACAATGTGTACGAATGCCATAACCAACAGAAATTAAATGAAAGAGTTTCCTCGTTTGAGTCACGGATTTCTCGGATAAAAAGAAAAAACACATGGCCCATTCGAATGGCCCACGACTTCATTCTGTGTCTGTCACTTCCTCAATTTCTAAATATTTGTCAGACCTCTGTTCCTAAACTATTTACATATCTGCTCGTATTCTTGGTCAACGTAAGAGGCCTTATTATTTTTATGTTTTATTATGTTTTAATAATATGTTGCAGTGCATAAGTTCGATGAATATTCAAATCGTATGCTGGGAAGCATTTCGGATGCTCCGTCGCCGTCTTCAAACAATTTCATGTCACAGTCACAAGGCGTTGAATGGATAACAGCGATGAACGAAGTCCAAAACGGGGCAGGTACCACAAAAATACACTGATGTTCAGACATTAAAAAACCAATTTATACCCAATTTAAATTTCAGAAGATTCACACAGCTCGCAAGGCAGTATATCTGGTGATGGTAAGTTTATGCATAATAATCTTATTCAATCACAATGTTTTCACTCCACTCTAGTGTGACAATGTGCAGAATCTATTCCTGCAGTTGTCTCCCACGTATCTACCTGTGATACCGGCACTGACTTTGGCTTCAACACCATTCATTCCCTCACCCTACTGGCCGATCAATTTTCTGTGGCTTTGTAAGAAATGTCTCAAATAACTTCGTGCCTAATTGAAAAAATGCATCCCGACCGCAAGGTGTTTTCCTGGCTCTGATGGTGTTTTTTCTTTTGTTTTTTTATTTATTTGTATTGGTTGATGGTCACTGGAGAAGAGAAGTCCACTGGAGAGAAGTCTCTGCATGTTTATTCACATGGTGATCAAAAAACCTGATGCTCTGAATCAGACTCAGATTAAGGCACAATCGTACATATGATAGTATACATTACATTATAACAAACAGTAACAGAATAGACGGAATAAGGTGGCAGGACAGCGGCTCAAGTCCAAGTCTATAACCACACAAATACGAGATTACGATTCAGTACTTTTCAAATCAGGTTAACACCGAAGCCACAAAATCTCAAATAGGGTTCCGGCTTCCTGTGCGTTCTTACATTCTCTTTTGTTGCCACTAAATGAAAAAGTGTGAATAAATTGAAAATATATTATACTAGCGGACCCGGCATGCGTTTTCCCTCCCCAACGTCTTCAAATAAACTTCTGATTTTTAATAAAAAAAAAATTGAGTAATTGTACAGGGTTGAGCGAACCTGTGCAATTTGGGCACGTCTCCATTCTTTTACTTCTGCACATTCCTCTTGCGTTAGATTAATAAGGACAATCCGATCACTTATTTTTACGACGTGTATATTACTCTACTACTACTTCTTACTCAATTTATTAATAATAGCTCGAGGTTAGAACTAATCTTCGTCTATAACAATGGCCAACTATTGCATGACAATTTATTTGTCGCCTACTATTGTATAGCTTAGATTGTCAAAAATTGTCTTCCGTAAAAACATTATCCTGGCAATTACGAACTCAATAAAAATGAATAACCATATCTGCTCTCCGCACAATTGCTCTCACGTAATTCATTCTCCATTTTTACCCGGTACTCGAAAAATAATATTGTTATATATTGTATATTGTATTTGTGCCCGAAAGTGAATCCGATCTGGTCTGATTCTGAATCTGATAGATAGTGCCATTTTCTGCTATGCTACGTTTTCTCTCATTTATAAATCTGTTTTATGAAATCATGCTCATATAAAATTCCTATTTGGATCTTGAGAAATAAATTAAATAAATAATAAAATAAAATGTGGCAATTTTGACAAAAACAAAATTTGTCTTACACAGGTACTTAACTTAATGATCCACCCTCGTATGTTAGCCATCATACTGGGTGTGCGCATGTAGCCCAGATGTTTCTTTTTAGAAAAAGCACTGCTGCCTCAAATTTGCTTCACTACGCTGAATTCCCAATTGTATATTAAACTGCTTTTACTGTGTTACTGAAGTTTCCATATCCGTTTGTTCAACAACCCTCCACCTCCTTTGAACCCACGTTAATTGTAATTTGACAAATCGCTTCTAACTTATGTTTTGACTTTGCGAGTACCATTGGGGGATTGCTTTAATTATTATTGTGCTTTGCTCTTTCTTCTGCAGTATACTACTAGCTGTTTCAAGTAGTAATAAAAGCCATTGCGCCTCTCTGTGTTGTGAAATCAAAAAAGAAAATTACAAACTTAATTTGCATAATTTTTAAACAACGACATCCTAATACATATTTTCTTTGGTTGTGACTCAATCTTTGTCTAATACGCCCTGTCGACTTCTAAATTTAAACAAACTCAAAAAGTATTATGATTTATTTTACTATTTACTAGTATTTACTATTTATTTACTATTTATTCGACTTGAATTAAAGATAAGTTTCGAGCACAGAGAAGAAGATCCATTTTACACAGACCACACACGGTTATTGAAGTTGATAAGTACACATGATATATAATATCTACATATCTATCTATGTATGTACATATATAAATACATATGTACTAATGTATATCCACACGAAAATATTTTTTCCCCTCTTCTGGGTGAGTTAGTTACATGTAAGCGGTTTATGTATGTACATACATATATACATTGCTTTATATGTACATATACATATCTATAAATATGTAAGTACATACAAATGTACATATGTATGTATATAGCTATGTAACGTATATGTACATGTGTAAATTTTTATACCCGGTACTCGAAAAGTAAATATTGTATTTGTGTACGAAAGTGGATGTATGTATGTGCATACATATTGATGTAACGCACAGAAGGAAACGTTTCCGACCCAATAAAGTATACATATTCTTGTATATATATTAATAGCCGAGTCAATATCTGTCTGTCTGTCAGCAAAAATCTGCTGGATCAACCGTTTTTAAGATAAGTTAAATCTAAAAACGCAACTCCGTAGGGAAAGACCATATCTATCAGATATCTATCACCGAGCTGGGATTAGATTGGATCAATATTATAGACAGAATGAAAAAATTAGTTTGCAGTGGCTACCCCCATCCCGTCCAACAGCTTTTTTTATTTTTTGCACATTCTCTCATTCCACACTCTGCTTCGTGCAGTGTGCGGCTCTAGAGGAAGGGTCGAGCTAAAAGAGCGTGTTGGCGTGAGAAGTTTTTTAGATGTAGATGTAGATGACAGATGTAGAAAAAGTGTAAAATTTAAATATTGAAAAAACCGCTAGGTCCAGATGTACTACTGAGTACCGGGTATAAAAGTTGTGTCACTTGTGTCCTCGTTTCTTATTAAAACAACGCAGGAGCACGAACAACTTGTTGAGTTTGATTTTAATTATTTTAATTAATCAATCAGTCGATTTGAATATTTACCTATGTAAATATGTACATACGTACATATGTACAAATATGTACGTACGTATCTATAAGAAAATGCTTGTTAGTGGCATATAAAAGTTTTCTTTCCATTAATAAATGAATTAATCATATAATAAGGAAAAATTATGTAATAATGAATCGATGCTAAGATGTCTCTAAAAAAAGAAACAAGCGTTCAGAATATTTCCGCGAAATCCCTCATGCACAAGATTTATACTCCTTTGCGGGTTTTTATAAACCGAAAATGTTAATTCAAATGTACGCTGCACAATCATAATCAAATTGTATTTTTTGTCTCATGGGAATTACTGTTAAAAATCCAAGCCTCTAATAATATGTACATATGTGGCTGTGACTTTTAGGCCATAATCGGGGGATGGGATGGATGTGAAGAGCATCTACTCTTATCATATCCCACTTTTAACCACTGCGCAAGCTCCTGTGTTTACTTCAGTCGTGATTTTTTATTGGAACACATTTTGATGTACATATATACTCTGATGCAGCGAGAAAAATTAGCTTTTTTGTTAATATTTTTGCTAACATAATTATGTTGTCTTTGAACATGCATACACTCAAATGCCAATCGTCATTAAATACGAAATGGGGAAGTACCGAAACGCCGAAGTGTTCGTGCGAAGCAACGGCAATAGTGTGTGAGAGAGACTGCAAGGCAGTACTTAAGTGGTAGGTAGTAGGCATAACGGTTTGCTGTGATTGGTGCAACCGCAAAAACGCGCCTGTTGATCTTGGTGACGATTGGTGGAATAAAACACCTCCCACCAGTTCAAGTCTTTCGCTTTAGCTAAACCAAGTCATGGGCGTATACAAATACAGCACAGAGGGAACATCTTGGTAAAAACGATTGAATGGCGCTTACAGAAAAAAGTTTTTCACTTGCCACGAAGACGCTGGGTGGAGGTAGAAACACTAAATCTAAATACTGATCTCTTAGAAATCACTTGTTAGCCCAAACAAATATCACTTTCCCTAGATATAAACGCCTTCACTTTGACATTATTTCACTGCCCTGCCTGCCCTTTTCAATGGCATAAGCATTGGATTGGCCACAACGAATGCAGCCACAGCCACCCAGTGTCGTCGTCGGTCGTCGAAAGCGTAACAAGGACCAACAAGGATATCCAAGGATATCCTTGGCCTCGGTTTTTCGTTCATCTTCATTGGTTGGCTGGCTGCAGTGCTGTGTTGAGCGCTAGGCGTTAAGGGTGGGCGGTGCGGTGGCGTAAGCGTAACAAGGACCAAAGATAATCAAAGACAATCTCACACGCCCGCGCCCTTCCTCACGGTGTAGATATAGAGATACGTACAAAATGCTTCGAGGTAGATAAGAATAAGGAAACCGTGCGCAGGATCTCTGCGGCTGACAGCAAACACCGCGGAAAAAATGGTTAACAATATTTTACAGCTCACAAAACGAAACAGAAAACAAATTGTGTAATAAAAAAACGGTGATAACGGTTAAAAAAAAGAAGCTGAAAACAGTGTTGAAGAAGCAGCAGCAACGCGAGTGCTCGATCCGGTCTACTTTTTCAAAGAAGTAGGCACGCGAAAAACAAACTTCAGCTCCAGCAGGCGAAATTCAGTGGTTCTTCCTTTTACGAAACGTCAATCAGAGTTTCGTTGACGCAATCGGAATACGGCATCAATTACGGTTTCGGTTTACGGTTACAGTGGCGGTTACGGTCACGATTGCAGTTTTTATATGAATTCAGATATCGTTAGAAAGTGCTGGCTGTAGAGTTTAAAAAGCTAAAAAATATATTTAATCAAAAATGGCACCCAAATTCTAAACCTGTGCTCCTCGTTGTTTTCATTTATATTCGGAACTCTACACCACAACTTTGGGAAACAACGAGTGAATACGCCGATATTAACGCGAAATTGAAGGATGGATCTCTCGACAGCCTACCGCTACAATCAGAATATGATGGAATATTATACATGTAATAACACCCTGTACATTAAAAGAAAACGTTCCAGTTCCTTGTAAATTATATTTTAATACAAATTTCTATGTATGTATAACCCGCTTATACTGGTAAAGTGGACATAATTATATCAAATTTGAGAAGAATACATTTGCTTAAGTAAAGCGAAATCAAATAATGATCTCTGTGTGTTTACTCGAATGTACATACATACATATATTTGTATATTTGTTAGGTACCTACGCGTGGAATGCAACAAAGGCATTTTCTGAATTTTTGTGACTATAGATCAATAGATACTTCATTATATGACAATTGTTTATTTGCCATTAAGCATTATGTGAAGCGAACAATGGTCTTTTGTTCCAATATTATATTCTGACGGCATCCTGCTGGGCACATGTAGTTTCAACAGCAGCTCCGCTCCGTTATGAATCGAGTCCTTAAAGTGAGTCGTGTTGTCAGATTGGGAACTTTCGCTATCATTCAGGTATAGGTCGGAAATTGCAGGCAGTTGGATAATATCAGCTGTTTGATTTTGAAAAACTGTTTTAGTTTTTATTTTTATATTTTTATATTATCCACTGATTTGAATGGTGTTATTTAAGAATATAGACTCAAAATATTTAGTTGTATCTAACCAAATATAGAAACAAATTATCATGGTAAATTGCATTTCAATGATCCTTTGATCATTGCCATTCATTCCCTTTTTCTTGCCTTATTAAAAAAGCCTTCCTCTTAACAACTTATAAACGGAACAAATATAACGTTTAGGATAAATATTAAAGCAGATTGTAATGGATTGTAAATGTATGTACATACATATGTATGTAGGTGTGGCTAACTAATTATATAAAAACTGATTTTAATCGGAAATGGACTTCTGCATCTTCTCTCTGCATCTTTTAATGTTTGCAAGGAAAATAAGGGGAATAAGTCTGTGCAGACTGTAGCAAAACAAATCTATTGTATAATAAACTTGCGCAGAGAATACCGCAAAGAAGTGTCAGACTGTAGATGGGGTGGAAACAAGCGATCTTCTCTGTTTTGGTGGCATGTTTGTCATTAGGCCTCTTAACTTAAATCTGTCGGTATCTTTTTATACTTTTTTTCGCAATTAAAAAAATTGCTGTGCCATGGTCTTTTAACATATGTATATGTCATATATATATATACACATATACATATGTATATGAACTTATTCTGAACATATGTACATACATGAACATGTACTGAACATATGTAATTACATGTATATACTACATACATACAAAGATGTGTGACTGAACACCGGGTACAAAAGTTGTGACGTCCTTCTGTGCGTTACATACATATGTATGTATGTGTGTACATACATCTTCGTTTCAGTTCTGGGTTTGTCAGTTAAGTTCAGTCATAAAATTACATCAGAAAAGTCTCCAATACATTAAAATAAAATTCCTTTTCGTCAATTTTTCACAGGTCATGGAGGAGTTAATCAACTGGGAGGAGTTTTTGTTAACGGACGCCCATTGCCCGATGTGGTTCGACAGCGCATCGTAGAGCTAGCGCACAATGGTGTTCGCCCATGTGACATATCCCGTCAATTACGTGTGAGCCATGGCTGTGTATCAAAGATACTATCAAGGTAATTATCCATGAAAATAAAGACCTAAATAACCTTTACAAAATACCCGCCAATGTTAGTTTCAATTACGCGCACACTAGCTGAAAGGACACGAAAATAAGTGCACAATAAGTACAATGCATTGTGGCTTAGCTGAGATGAAAGCTTGTTTGATCAAGCATATTTGTTTTTTTTTTTCAAGATTGACTACAATTTCGTCAAATATTTGGATAAAAGCTTTATTAAAACCACAATTATATGTACAAGCTTTATGCTGGATTTAATATAAGTTAATAGCATAAATTCTAGTGTGTTAATCGAATTTTTTATTTAAACTATTTATTTATTTAAAGCGTACATTAATTTTAAAAAAAGAAGAAAATTCAATACAAACTAATCTTACCTCCGATACGAGTACATATGTAAATATACATATTTACATACACCAAGACTAGGATAATAAATCTTTTGCGGTTATGGGACGCCACAAATTAAATGTTGCCTGGAGACTGGTGCGTTGAATCAAGGCTAGACCTAAACGATGGTTGATATTTAAATTGGTTTTAATTAAATACGGTAAAATGTAGAGTAATCTTAAAAATGCTTCCATTTTTCAATTCACTTTATTACAGTATAATGTTTAGAGCTTTGTAACAAATAGCAATACTGTACTGTACTGTACTGCTTACCTTCGTACATAGAAATTCGATGTGGCTCGCACATCTTAAACGTGAAAATCTTAATTCCTTGCTGCTTGTGTTTTATTGTTCAGCTACGTACAGACGATTTGGAAAGGCTGTAGTTGCAACAGATACGAGGCACATCCGAAAGCAGATTCGAAAATCCAGCTGATATATGTACATATGTATGAATGTACATATGTACATACATATGAACATAATAATTTCCTTACATTGTTTTTAAGAGAGAAATGAGCTCAAAGACTATTAATACTAGGTCATCTGCATTTTGTATGCTGGTTTATGATCTATAGGCTTCTAGACGATCTAACGATCGTAGTGTAAACCAAACTAAACTACTACATTTGAATTGACATATGCTTTTACATTTTATGATTTTTTATCTGTATGGCCTGTTCATTTTCAAAGGAATATTTTTATTCGTACATTTCAAATTACTTTTTCAATTGAAAATTTAAATTTCGAAGCGATAACAATTAAATTGCGCCCTGTAAAAGCTTTTCTTTCTGTATGCAATAAGTTTCCGATCCTTCTATTTAATTTATACTCTTACAAGACAAACAACATCTTTTTTTTATAATTTCCAGATATTACGAGACTGGTAGCTTTAAGGCAGGTGTTATAGGCGGATCGAAGCCAAAGGTGGCGACACCTCCTGTTGTGGATGCTATAGCCAACTATAAGCGGGAGAACCCCACTATGTTCGCTTGGGAGATACGAGATCGACTTCTAGCTGAGGGTATATGCTCCCAGGATAATGTTCCCAGTGTTTCTTCAATAAACCGGTAAGAACGAATGCATTGCAAGCCATGAGTCAGGGCTTTGGGCACGGAAAATTCAGGCAAAACATAACGGACATGCGCACGTCCGCAATGCGTTAAGTTGGTGTTGCCATGTTTGTTTGCTGTCATGCAGCTAACTTCCGCATCCGCTTCCTCGAAACTGGATGTTACTCCAGCTTCATTTGTTCCCAACCATCTAGCTAATAAAAATATCTAAGTAGTTTTTAGCGTTCATAATTGCGGCACAATGCTTGACACACGACCACCACAAAAGGCACTTTCCTTTTTGCCATCCGGTGCGGCTTTATTGCCGACAGCATCAGCAAAGTGACTTGGCCATGCCACGTGGCCTTTGCGTTGTTGTCGCTGTGCCACATTGCTGTTATTTACGCACTTCCCTTTTGACCATAATTCATTTTAGCGGCGACGATGATTTTACCAAGAGCCATCTACTAAGGCGTTTGTTAAGCAACCGCTATAAAGTGGGAAAGTAACACTAACGCATCTTTTTGTCACTTGTGCAGCTAGCACGCACTGCACTTGTGAGCAGCACGAACCAGACATTCACCTATTGAAAAAGCCTAAAAAATTCTAAATTAGAATTGGAATTTGCAACCGCACCCGACACGTGTACCCATTCAGAATCAATTCGACGCGTATTACTCTTATGCATTGCTCTCTATCCATCCAACTGACATGTGACCGATGATAGGGCACAAGTCGCGGTGAGTGGGCTGGGTTAATTCAAGGGATAATCAGCAAAAACATTTCATAATGCGACAATGTGTGATGAGATAGCACTTGAGCGATGATTAGGGTGGTGATTCAATCGAATCAAAGTTGTGCGTACGGCTGTGGCAGCACTCCCCTATTCGAATCGGATTCCCCGGAGACAGACACTTAATAATGTGACTTTCATAGCACTCAACCAATTTTAGTTTTCAGCCCTCTAAGTCAAGTCAAATATATCTACAAATGTGTATGTACATAGGTATGTACGAGTATACACAAGAGCAAAAGCAACGAGTTGTACTTTACTCACATCCCAAACATATGTCTCAATTGTGTGCACTGCCCAAACACCCAATAGCTCATCCCATCTGCCTCCGGGCTGGCGCTCACAGGAAAGAATCGAAAATCTGAAACTGAATTCAGCGTCCTATAATTTGAACTGAATGGGCTTCTCTTATTGCAACCCTCCAGATTACTTATGGCCACTGCGAAATCAACCTGTCAAATGTACTTAAATTTGTATGTGCTATACGAGCTTACACATTACACATTTAATATACATATACATACATACATATGTATGTAGGAAGTCTGCTATCTGGATTACGGGACCACAACATGCTGCTGTTAGCATTAATTTAACTACGCATCCAAAAAATTAAGTATCGCGGACAGAAGCGTTAGGTATCTTTGCAATTTAATCGATTTTTATTTTATTTGGCTAGAATGGTTGGGTATTGGTCGATACTTGAATACACAGTTGTTTACCAAGTCGGTGAAGAAGGAGTCAGCTGCCCCCGTAGAAAATTCATACATATATTCCAAAGACGTCTAAATCGGGGTCCGAGTCGTTGAGTCCAATGGTTGCGGTAGTGTCTCAAATCTAAATAGTTGCTCTTTTCCTGATGCACATGTACAATTTAACTGGGTTTATCTTTGAACACGAACAAGTGGGGACATTCTTTCTGCAAAGCACCAATTAATACTTTCTTAATATTAAAATTAATACCCTTACGCACACTTTCAAAATTTTGTTCGATTCGTCCGAATCTATTCTTATCTATTCCGTACTCTATTTCGCATGAATGTTGCTATTTTGGGCCACTTGCAGGCATTGTTAACTTTATCACAAACATAAATTCACAAAAAACTAAAAAAAAACAGTCAAAAGTTAGATGATTAGAAACACAATCACAAAACTTGATCGAAAATTTATAATTTGAATTGATACAAGTGTATTTAACAATTTCGTCCTGCCCCTTTCCGCCACCACAAAAAGCGAAATATCTCAACAATTTTGAAGATAAGAAAAAACTAAAAATACAGTTCTGTAGAGAATGACCATATTGTTGTGGTAGACACTGTATTGGGATTATATTGGATAATTTTTAGAGTAAGAAGAAAGAAATTAATTTTCAGTGGCTACCATCACCCCGTCTAGCAGCTTTGCTTTGTCTGTTATGGAAAAATATATTGAATAAAATAAATTTTGATTTGAATTTGTATAACTTTTTTCAGAATTGTAAGAAACAAGGCAGCCGAAAAAGCAAAGCATGTCCATCATCATCAGCAGCACCATATGCAGCATAATCTCAGTGGCGGACAACATGCCACAGAGAGCCTTGATAGCAGTACAGGTGCAAATAGCGATCCGCTGGCAGCTGGCGTTGGGACCAGCAGCAGCAGCACTAATTCCGCAAACACTAACACATCAGCAGTGGCATCATCAGTAATTGCTCACGCCCCAATATCGACGTCAGCAGCCGACTCCGTCCAAGATCCAATAGGTCACTTGAATAATAATAGTAATGGCACCAGCAATGGAAATGTTAGTGCAGGGCCTGAGCACCGAACGACTGGATATAGCATTAATGGAATTCTCGGTATACAGCATGGACATCATTCACAGAACAACAACAACAACAACAGCACCAATAATAATAATAATAATAATACAACAGATTCTGGGTTTAAGCGCAAAAGAATCGATGCCCATGGTAAGTCTTTTTTCTGTTACAAAATAATATGAATTTTCCAATGAAAAGTTTTGATATAGGAAAATACATACATATGTACATATATGCATAATATAATTTTTATACATACATATTTACTTACATATACATATGTACATACATGTTACTGGGTACTTTCCCCTTGTTTTTACGTATTTTTATTCCTGGGACTCGAAGAGTAAATAGGGTATTTTGTATTTGTAGTAAAAAAAAAAGTGACTGAAAAAGCGTTTCCGACCATGTAAAGTACATACATATGTATGTATGTACATATATATATTCTTGATCAGTATCAATAGCCGAGTCAATATGGTCATTTCTGTCTGTCTTGTTTAACGCCTGTTTCTCAGAGACTGCAAGAGCTAGACCAACCAAAGTGTGCATCCAGACTGCTGTGATATCACTCTAATACAAGTGTATTTAAAAATTTCCCCCCGCCCCCTAACGCCGACTCAAAGAACAATTTTTAAGATGGGCGAGAGTGGCGAGATATGAGAAAAGATGTAGATGTACACTGTACATATGTAGATGTCACATGTAGAAAAAATTTAAAATTTCAAATTCGAAAAGAAACACTAAGGAACAGGTATACTGACTAAGTACCGGGTATAAACGTTTTGATGCGTTTAAAGCGTCTAACAAACGACCCTACTCGTTGCTCCTATTTTTAGTCTATCATTCATTTACCAGATAATTAAAATTCGATTTTCGGTCGAATCCCTTGAGACGAATGTTAAATTATACACATAGTCGCTGCCGTTCCGCTTTTCCGCATTGAGCATACTGCTTTGATACTTATCACACTTGCACACAGATTAATTGATATGTGCATATGTATGTCCATAGATATGTACTAATATGCAAACAGAAAATTAAAATGTAGTAAAAATTCGTTTGTATAATAATATATTTTATTGATTGTGGCTAGTAATATTAATACTTCAATACATGCACATTCATATATAAGCTTACACATACATACATAATGAACATACAAATGAAAAAAAGTATCCTTCAGGCTTTATATATTTGATTACCAAACACACACCAAACACACAAACCACTTTTCCTAAGCCTATACCTTCATACATCCTACCTTTGCAAAGGTAGATTAAAGAAGAAGAGAATAGATTAGACTTAGCGTAACATTAGCGGAAACTGTTTTGTGGTCATATCACGGCAATCTTCAAACCACAGTTTGAGCTAGATAAGTAAATGAAAAGATTATATCTTTATTGTGTGGCAGAATATTTTTCGGATTTGAAATAGGATAGGACAGAAAAAAAATACATTAAATAAAAAGAATACCGTGCTGTTCGAATAAACATAGTTCCAGCAAGCACTTGTCATTTTCAATAAATAGGCTTTAATGGTTATGGCAATTGCACCCTAGATGAAGCAGCAAATAAACGATAACAATCGCAGTTACCAAAAATAAGAAAAAAAGATCCGGTTTTGATTGTGACTGCGACCCTCAATCCGTCCTCAGTTTGGCTTGCCGTTTTCCAAAACTTTTAAGATTGGATTGCTTGTTCAGATAGAGTTTGTCAGATGAGTCCCTCGTCATCAGGTCACCTTTTTTGTCACTATATGGGTAATAAAATGGCAATAGCCGAAATCTTTTATCAACTCAATGCTATCGTTTCAAATACTGTCCGTCCCGCTTCTCCAAAATTGGCTGTCAATTCCTTTTGAATTAAAATCACCCTTGCTCCTTCTACAATACTAATGTAGGCCTTATTGTGGACAATTTTGTAAGATAAATCAGATTCAGAACTGGCGAGTGACCTGCTGCTGGTAGGATGGATTCATGAGGGGATGGAATGTGGGTGTAACTTAGGATGGCCATCAAAAAAAAATTACGAATTAAAAAATTTGTACATATGTCACTTAAACTTTCCAAATTTGTTTCAAAACAAGTAAAAATTCAATATTTGAACTAAATTTTGAGTAAAAGTATAAAACAGTCTAGTTGGACAGGTGCAAACTATCTAAAATATTTAAAAAAGTTGCAGGTACCACCAGTACCATTACTTGCCGTCGTTTTTTTTGTTGCACAATTTGATAAACTAAAAAATATTTAAAACTGCATTGAAAATAAAACAAACAATTTGAAGTACGTTGAAAGTCTTCATATTTTTGTGATTGCCAATAGCCAATATTTTTTTGCAGACAGATTAAATATGAACTATAATGTTTTCACTGTTCCATACCTCGGATCAACGTCTAAAAAGTCCTCGCTCTAACTCAATTCTAACGTTTTCTATAATTTATTATCATTTTAATAATGGAGTGTTCATGAATTGAATATCTGAGAAGGGTGTTGGAATAAACACTCAAGCCACGGCGACATGGCTTTTACTCATAAATGCACTTAAACGGCACGTGACACTCACCGTCTATGAAAAAACCCTATCAATATATTGATATAAGCAGTTACACTAATTAAATTAACTGACCTTTTTTGTACCAACTTTTAGATGAGAACCGCGACACAAACATTCATTCGGACGATGAAGCTAAGCGCCAACGCTTGGGCTACAGTGGAGATCCGATTTACCCAAATGTAAGTTTTTTCTTAAATGTTTATACAATTTAAAGGTTATCTTTATCTACCTACTTCTTTCGAAAAATGTGTTTTCTTATTATAGTTTTTGCTAAATTGGTAGCCCATGCATCGTATTCTTATTTTGCTAATTTCTTTATATTCACAGCATATACTTTTTACGTTTTGATAAGCATACGCATGTATGCATGAACATGCCCGTATGTATGTACATAAGTATGTATGTATATCAACCAAAATTACCTGTATTTTCGAAAACCAATTCATCGAGAAGAGTTTCTACTTTCTTAAAAGTGGTTGTTCCAAATTTGATTTGCTTTATAAAAAAAAACAGAAAATATTTAAATTGTGGTCGATTATCACAGTACACGAATAATTTGTATTTACTGTTGGAACCAAACCCACATATTTTTGTGAGCGCTCTGGCTAATGTTTGTGCTCAGCTTAGCTGCAGCTGCGAACTGCTTCAAGAAATTAGCAAATTTGTATGGTCGAAATTACAAACTCAAAGAATAATCTTTATTTCTTGAGTTTGATTGGTTGCTAAAAAATAATAGTTATTGGTTGAGATGTAAAGTATATCCTAAATAAATCATTATGTTGAGAACGATTAAATAGGCCAATAGGTATAACTTAAAAAATAATCATTATTGTATTATTTTTTTTTTTGTAAACCTATAATAATTACAGCCCGTTCTCAAAACGTAACAATTAGTAATAATAATATTGTGGTCTTCCAACCCTGTGTATGTATGTATATGTATGTATGTACATATACAGTTTTGTTCAATGAAATAGTAGAGCCGCGTCACACAATTTTCACAACTATTTTTGAGACCCTTCCAGTCTTTCGTCCAGTCCAGTCTTCCAGTATACTTATTTTGGAAAGCCTGAAATGAACACATTAGAACCCAGAAAGAATCCTGGAACATTTGCATTCCATCTTCCTGTTTAACATGACTTTAGAAAAATACCCATGAAACAGCTGTTCAATAAAATATTAGTGCTGGGTGCAAGTATTAAAAAAAAATTAAAAAACAAATAAAATTAATTCCAAAAAGTTACCATTCGTAAGCTTAATTTATATATTGAACATGTTGATGAAAGAAATGTTTGAATGTAACGGTACTTTTGTTTTTGGAGCGTAGAAGTAATCATTGAACGGTCCAATATGGGAGACTTTAGATTTAGACTAAAAACTAAAATCAGGAGGTATAATGGAATTCAAAACTAATTTGAATGTGCTCTTACTGTTATATTTAACCGTTTAAAGTAAAAGAAGAACCCTGAAAAATGATTTTTTATGCGAAAACATTGTTTTTTAGTAGATGGTCGAAGATGGTTGAAGGCAAGACCAAGGTCTTCAATATCCTCAAAAGTTATGAAAACAATTTTATATCGCTCTGAAAGTGTTTTGAAAGTTAATACACGACTGATTACACATTACTTAGTTGCAAGAGTTCCCCGGAAGCTACGCAATTGAGAATAAAAGCACATGGCTACACGACTCATGTTTTAAAAAATGTGGACATGAGGCATGTGGACTGGGCCGTCTCACAGTCCGAAAAAAACTTTGGACAGATGAGTGTAAAGTTGTTTTATATGGCGAGGAAGACTCGAAAGAATATGTTTGGCGTTCACAGATATCTGATAACTGCCCAAATTCTTGGGAAAAAACAACATTGGGCATGTTGGGTTGACCCTTATAAGCTGCAGCCCATATAAACTCGTACTTCCTAGCCAGGCACTGACGTATTTCATAAAGTGGTGTGTGCCAGCATACTTTTGAAAACAATAAATTAATATTACTATTAAAAAATGGCTCTCAAAAGGATCTTTCAACAAAATAATGATCTGAAACACGCAAGAAAGCTCTCTAGGAATGGAATTTTATCCGAAAAGCTCGACACTTTTCCATGTCTTTCTCAGTCTCTAGACCAAAATCCCAACGAAATATTATTGTAAAGTGTGAAATGTGTTATTACGATTACAATTCCAGAGCACAGTTTTGCCAAGGGGCTTAGGAATTATAGTCTCAGATCCTAATTAAGCTTGGGCAGTATCTTATTGACACATGCCAGGTGGGAGAAGGGCCATAGAGAAAACAAATTTGATTAAAAACTACATATTAAACCTGAAGAAACATATAAAACATGAAACATATGCATTAATTTCAGTTTTGTTTTTTATTTCGAAAACTGCTATTTTATTGAACAGCAGTTTTCATAGGTATTTTTCGAAAGTCATGTAAAACAAGAAGATGGAATGCAAATGTTCCAGGATTCTTTCTGGGTTCTAATGTGTACATTTCAGGCTTTCCAAAATAAGTAGACTGGAAGACTGGACTGGATGAAAGACTGGAAGGGTCTCAAAAATAGTTGTGAAGGGAAGAAGGTTGGAAGGGTCTCAAAAATAGTTGTGAAAATTGTGTGGCGCGGCACTACTATTTCATCGAACATAACTGTACATGTATACATGTGTTTGCATGAATGTTAACATGAATGGACGTGTGAGACGCTTCTTACGCGTCACAACTTTTATACCCGGCACTCAGTACTACATCTGCACCTTAGCGGTGTTTTGTCTTATTTTACATATTTGCTTCATCTGTCATCTACATCTACAACACTTCTCACACCAACACGCTCCTTTAGCTCGCCGCCCTTCCCTAGACCCACACACTGCAGACTCGCGGCAGAGGCAGAGGCAGCGGACGCACACAAAAAAAACAAATATAAGCTGCGGGATGGGGTGTGTTGAAAGTCGGCAAAGGCAGAGGCAGAGGGACGGCAGAGGCCGAGTGAAGCAGAAGCAGAGTGTGAATGAGAGAATGTAAAAAGAACAACAAAAGCTGCGGGACAGGGTGGGTTTAGATACTGCAAATTAATTTCTTCATTGTGGCCTTAATATTGATCGAATGGGGATCTGATAGATATGGTCATTTCCCACAGAATTCCGTTTTTAGATTTCTTTTATCTTAAAAATTGTAGCTTTGGGAGGTTTTCGGCCTTTTGCGGGGGCGGGGCTCATTTTTAAAAAACACTTGTAACAGTGTGAGCACACAGAAGTCTGGATGCAAAATTTGGTGGCTCTAGCTTTTATAGTCTCTGAGATCCAGGCGCTCAACAAGACGCATGGACAGACGTACAGGCGGACAGGCGGACGGACAGACAGACAAGGCTCAATCGACTCGGCTATTGATGCTGATCAAGAATATATATACTTTATGGGGTCGGAAACGATTCCGTTACATACATTCACTTTGTGCACAAATACAATATACCCTATTTACTCTTCGAGTACCGGGTATAAAAATTAGTTCGTATAATTCTGTTATTACTCTGTACTCCCTTACAAGAATAATTATGTGTTCTAATGTACGAGTATGGGTATGATAAATTAAAGGCTAGTTCTCAGAGCCTATAAGAGCTAGAGCCACCAGACTGCTGTATGCTCACACTGAAACCAGTATATTTAAAAAATAGCCCCGCCCCCTTCTGCCTCACAAAGCGCGAAAATCTCCCCCAACCACAATTTTTAAGATAAAATATTGGATTGGATCAGATAGGATTATTTTTATAGCCAGAATGAAGAATTTAATTAGCAGTGGCTAAACCCACCCCTACCAACAGCTTTTCTTGTTTGTTTTTTACACATTCTCTCATTCCACACTGTGCTTCGTGCTGTGCGCGGCTCTAGGGGAGGGGGGCAAGATAAAAGAGCGTGTTGACGTGAGCAGTTTTTTAGATGTGGATGTAGATGACAGATCCAGAAAAAATTTAAACTGTCAAATGTAAAATTCGAAAAAAAAACAATAAGGTACAGACATAGTGCCTTCGTACCGGGTATTAAAGTTGTGACGCGTAAGAAGCGTCTCTCACGTCCCTTCTCATTTTGTATATAAAATGATGACATACTTATATGTATTTGTCGCTACTGCTAAATAATACATTTTCTTTTAAGATATGGTCAGGGAAATGGTGCATTAAGGATGAACACAAACTGCTTTCCGAGCTGGGAAATTTAACAACCAGCAGCGGTAACAATGCTCCCTCATACTACGAACCATCAAACGGATTTTCAGCCACCACGATAACAGGGTCAGGAGCGGCACCATCTGGCAATGATACGTCTATGCTATATGATAGTATAGCCACAATGTCGCAGACACAAGGAGCCCTGTACACACAGACACTCGGTCCATCAATCGGTAAGTTAACCTACTTCAAAAAATAGTCGATAAGTAGTTGTTTAAAATGTCAATAAGTTTTTAGTTTGTTTCGAGATATTTTTATGTAATATTTTATTTACGTTTACATGTACGTTCTTACCTATTCTTTATGAACTTGACCGATGTAGGCAGCAGTTCGCTTACTCCACTAGTCCCAATAAATATGCATGACATGAAGCTTAGTTCAAATACAGTACAGGAACAGTCAATCGCACCTTTCTACGCAGGTAAGGATAGATCAAGTTTGAATGCTTATAATATAATAATTAAGGTTAAGGTCTTTTGCGCGCGAAGTAAGCTTTGCAGCTTTACTCTGTTACTCTGTCAAAGAAATTGTTCGTGTATACACTGTATATGCTAGTAATCCCTTAAGGTTATAGCACTCACGAACGCATGTATTTCCAAACTGATTTAAAATTGTTACATATATAGCAGCAATAGCCTTTGAAAACGGAAGCTTTCCGTCAATAGCAAGCTTGGATAATGTCGCAAACTCACAAGCGGGACAAGGTGTCATTGCAGTTTCGGAAAGCTCTGGTCCGACCAGCATATGTTCAAGAACTGTGCGAAATGATCAAAACCCCACCGAAAGTAATATAAACAGTACATTACTAATAAAGGAGCCAGTGGTACGGAGCGACAGCAGGGACAGGGAGGAGAATGCCATCAGATCTGATAAGAACATGGAATCTGAAAAACAAAATGTGGAGCAGAATAACCATATACCCTTATCAAACCTGCACCATATAACAGAGCATCAACTAATAACAAGCAACGGCAGCCCCATTGCCAATACCAATACACATACCTCATCTCTAATACTCCTTCAGCCGAGCGGTGGCACCTCCTCGCTAAATGTTAGCGCTGTTGACGATCGTTCAGATGTTCATACAAATGTATGTAGTAATGTAGGCATTTATGCTACACCTACAGTACTGCCAAGTTTTAATCATTACTCTACAGGCAAGTTGCAAACCAAACGAACTTTTTGGATACGCCTCACATCTGCACGGGAAGAGCCACAAAAAATAGCTCTCTTTCCAGCACATTTGTCTTTCGCACAATACTGGTGATGGTAACACTTCAGTTAAATACTAGTAATATCTTGTTTGGATAGATAAATATATCTAAAAATCGTTCTAAACTCTCTACGGGGTAAAAATAGTTATATGAAAACACATTTTTTGGACTGCAGAGACTTAAACTCTGAAAATTCTCTTTCTCAAGCGACCCTTCGACGAATGACTGTAAATTGCTTTAATTAACTGTATGCGTAACTAAATTTATAATATGTTTTTCATTCATCATGCATTTGCTTATCCCCAAACATTCGTATGTTCCAATCCAATTATTTCGAACTTTTTAATATTTTGATTTTTGGTTTTCTTCCACATCTTGGAATATTTTATTTCTTATGTGTATAGTTTTGGTTGATCCAGTTTCATAACCTCCGTGTGGCTTTTAATAATATTTGTATTTACAGGTTGTAGCTCAGTTGTTCCAGGAACAGAATATGCCTATAGTTCAGCTTACTCACAATATGGAGGTGCTTATGGTTCCTATGGTTACGGTGCGAGCGGCGGTTTAGTAAGTAAGTAAATCGTCACATTTAAATAACGAAATATGTGCAGATTATATTAATTTTTTATATATTTTTTAGATTCATCATACTACTACGAAGGTGGTCAGCCACAGTCAGCATTGAGCCAGGACCTGCGTTCTCCATTAGCTGCAACGCGGGCCAATTCTTTAGCATCAGCTGCGTCGCCAACCGGTAGTGCATGCACAAAGTCTGAAACATCAGATATATTCCTTGTATAATCACCAATCTTAAAAATACCTCTACCACATTAATTATTGATTGATTTCCACTCTTGATCGGAGAAAACACGGTCTTCGTACATTTAATATTTTTTATTTGTAATTGCTAGCCGTTCCATGAGTTATAACAGAGGGTCCTTGCAATATTAAGTACACATGTACATAAATAAAAAAATCACACATTCATTTGTGTGTTAAAGGCTATAAATAATATGAGCGGTTCCCATACACAAATATGCATTTATTGTTCGATTCGACCTTTCACGTGCAAGACTTGCAATATATGTATGTATTTTTTAAAGAACAAACAAGGACTGGTCTAAACGTAAGTTAGTAATTCACCTAATACATAAGCAAAAACCCGAAAAACCAAATAAACCAAAATGTTCAATAAAGAACAACGCAACCAAAAATCATGCAAGTTTTATAAAAACTTTCAAAATATTTAGTTCGGAATGATCCGAAAACCAAGACATATTTATGTATAATTTGCACATAAGCGTGCACTAATAAAGGCAACTTGACGTTGATATTTAGCGTATAATTATTCACCAAATCCAAATCAATATGTATTACTACGAGCACATAAAATAAGTTTAATAAGCGCATGCTTATTGAAGAACCATGCTACCCTAGAAAGCAGGTTTGAAAGTTGTGAAATTATGTTTAAATTCAAAATTATTTGATTTGTATGCATTTTATATGTTGCTAATTTATAATGCATTTGTACTGTTTTTAAATACTCCAATGGATAACGAAATCGACGTTTTACTCGTACTTTTATTTATAGTTATAATTAGTCCTAATTTATAATAGGTAACTCCCATTACTTATAAGAAAGCACAAACCAAAATTAAAGATATTTAAAAATAACTGTCTGTGTGTTAATTAAAAATAAAGTAATCGAAAAATATTAAGTGCTCTAGAAATGGCAACCATATCTAATCAGTAAGGTGCTATGAGCAATATCTTTTATCCAACCAAAGAACGATTTTATCCGATATTTGGGCAGCAATGGAAAAAGGCGAAAAGTTATTAGTTGAAATAGCGGAAACGAAAACATATCTTTACGGAAAAGGGGTCTGCGGCACTTATGTTCTCTCGAGCTGTACTTTGGTCATTTGATTCACATAAATTGCTGTTTAGCAACCGTTTCTACACATTAAAATGTAGTGAAAATAACTCACAAAAACGATCATTTTTCATTTGAAAGCTTAATACTTCCCAGACGGTAAGCTAAAACCACGAAGTGTTTGGGTGTTTCCAATTTTTAGCTGCATCACTTAGCTTTTCAGAATGGCAAACTTCTTTACAATCAGGTGTAAGAAACTTAAGCTATGAGAAAAACAAACCGCTACTTCTGAAAATAGTATACAAAAATTACAGTTCTTAAAAACTTCAAAAAAAAAGCATTCGTAGAAATATAATAAAAAACGAGAAAGGACGTGTGAGACGCTGCTTACGCGTCACAACTTTTATACCTGGTACTCAGTAATACAAATTGAGCCTATCGTTTTTCAAATTTTAGATTTTACACTTTTTCTACACTTGTCATCTACATTATTATTTCTCGGGCCAACACGCTTTTTTAGCTCGACCGCCCTCCCCTAGAGCCGCGCACTGCACAAAGCAGATTGTGGAATGAGATAATGTGCAAAAATTAAAAAAAGCTAATGGATGGGGTGGGGGTAGCCACTGCACATTAATTTCTTCATTCTGGCTATATTAATGATCCAATCGAATCCCAAATCCCTACCGAATGGCAATCTTAGTTTTCTTTTATCTTCAAAATTTTGAAGAATGTGCATGCGGAAGAAAATATTCACTTGCGAGTCGCTATCAAAACGCTATCCGAACGAATCTGCCTCTGCCGTGCAGTGTGCGGCTCTAGGGGAGGGGGTCGAGCGAAAATAGCGTGTTGGCATGAGAAGTTATGTAGATGTAGATGAAGATGTAGATGTAGGTGAGAGGTGTTGAAAAAATGTAAAATTCGAACAAAAAAAATGGTACAAGTTCCCAGACTGAGTACCGGGTATAAAAGTTGCGTAAGATGCGTCTCACACGTCCCTTCTCGTTTTTGTTTTGTATTATATGTTATTATTCTAATTTTTTTATTGCAATTAATTTCTAATTTCATTTATATTAAGTTTATATTATATATATATGTATGCATTTATTATTATATATACAAAGAATGAGGTTCAAGCGGGGTGCTTGATCCCTAGTATTATGTATATCTTTTATATATGTACATATATATTAACTTCTCATGTCACGTTTTTGTCACTGAACTCCTCCTAACCACTACCTGCCTTTTAATCGCGGTTTAAGAGTTTTTGATGAAGTTAGTTTTGTTTGAGCTGTCAGATTTTTACATAAAATAATATAATATAATATAATATAAGTCTGTATATATTATTTAATTTTATTTCATTGTATTTTTTTATGTAAGCATTTAAAACACTTTGCTAGGGGCCCTTTTCGAACAAGATAACAAATTTTCGTATGGGAATGTCGCTTCTGCGTGAATATCAATCACTAGAGGTGCGAAAATAACGAAATCAACATACAAAATTGGAAAGGAGACAACTGCGACTGCTCATAATTGACACGCCAAACAAAATTACAAACACTTACACGAATGAGAAGGCACCACCAAAAATATTTAGCGATCTGTCAAACGAAAAGGGACGTGTGAGAGGCTACTTACGCGTCACAACTTTTATACCCGGCACTCAGTACTACATCTGCACCTTACCGGTGTTTTGTCAAATTTTAAATTTTGTCTTCAACTGTCATCTACATCTACAACAATTTTCACACCAACACGCTCCTTTAGCTCGCCGCCCTTCCCTAGACCCACACACTGCAGACTCGCGACAGAGCCAGAGGCAGTGCCCGCACTCAAAAAAAAAAACAAATATGTATAAGCTGCGGTACGGGGTGGGTTAAAAGTCGACAGAGGCAGAGGCAGAGGGACGGCAGAGGCAGAGTGTGAATGAGAGAATGTGAAAAGAACAACAAAAGCTGCGGGACAGGGTGGGTTTAGCCAGTGCAAATTAATTTCTTCATTGTGGCCATAATAATGATCCAATCGGATCCCAATTTGGTGATCTGATAGATATGGTCATTCCCTACGGAAGGGCGTTTTAGTTTTCTTTTATCTTCAAAACTGTAGGTTTGCGAGGTTTTCGCCCTTTTGCGGGGGCGGAAGGGGGCGGGGCTAATTATACCCGGTACTCGGAAGAGTAAATAGGGTATATTGTATTTGTGGGGAATAACGGTTGTATGTGACGCACAGAAGGAAACGTTTCCGACCCCATAAAGTATATATATTCTTGATCAGCATCAACAGACGAGTCGATAGAGCCATGTCTGTCTGTCCGTCTGTCCGTCTTAGATGACAGATGAAAAAAAATTTTAAAATTTGACAAAACACCGCCGAGGTGCAAATGTACTATTGTCCCAATTACCAGTTTTGGTGGCTGTTTATGCCAAATTAGCTCAAGGGCTTGTGGCCGGGAGCAATTAGTATTTTGTATAAGTAAAATGAATTTGTAGCATTAAGATATTGAATTGTTGCATTTACGACATACATGTAATATGTGAATACGATAGAGAAAGAGGAAGAACATGCATTTAATAGGTGAATATCGAAATTTAAAAGAAGAAGAGATTAAATTGATTGTAATTCCGACTCGGTCGAACCGGCAGCACTTGGCTTTTTATTTCGAGATTTTGATTCCGAACTGGTTGCGAGGAGTTGCGGAAACAGTGGCCAAAAGCTAATTTTTAAAACCAAGACTCGGTTTTTAACGCGAGTGAACATCAAAGTTGCGTACCATAAATTTTCATAGATGGCGCCACTTTCGAAAAATCTGCTGTGAAACCTAGCGGTCATTATTGCAGAGAATGTGCAGGGAAAAAGTACCAATTTTATTGCTGTTTTAAATATCTCATAAATTGGAAAATACGATTAACTGATCCAATTTTTTTGATGCATTTTATTTAGTAGGCTTTTTACTACGTGTTCTGTAATGTGAACGATATCTAGTGGTTGGCGATATCTTCTACATCTAGATATAGTCCTGAGTGCCGGGTATAAAAGTTGTGACGCGTAAGAAGCGTCTTACACATCCTTTCTCGTTTTTGAAATACACTGGTTTCAGTGTGAGCATACAGCAGACCGGAGCCAATATTTGGTGGCTTATAGTCTCTTATAGTCTGTGAGAACTAGCCGACAAACAAGACAAACAGCTCTATCGACTCGGCTATTGATGCTGATGCTGATATATATACTTTATGGTGTCGGAAACGTTTCCTTCTGTGCGTTCCATACAACCGTTATTCGCACAAATACAATATACTCTATTTACTCTTCAAGTACCGGGATAAAAACACACATCACATGATTGAGAGAAAAAACTGAGAAAACTAATGAAAATTTGATTTATTGAGGAAACAGGTCGTAAAATATATTTCTTCAAATTCCTCTTTTGTCTCATAAACATCTAATTTGCTTCCTTAGTGGCAGTGACACAAAAAAATCTACCCGACTATGGTGGTTATTGATTTAATTTAATAAATTCTGCATAAGTGCTTTCCCTTGGTCTCTTGGCTGCTGTCGAAAGTGGGGGAAGGATATATCGAAAATATAATATAATACATGTATAATATGACTAAAAGAGCGTAGGCAGAGGCAAACAAATAATTTTAAGGAGTACATTAACTTTCGTACGCCATATCCACCAGATTACTTAATCTGGTTCAGATCGATTCAGATGGAACAAACCCCTTTCCGGTGTCCATTCTCCTCCGACAAACGTTGTATGGAAACAGAGGAGACATTCTCAAACTCAAATCAACAGGTCATCAGGTGAAAAAGAGGATAAAGGAAAAGTAAGTGCAAGAATTACTGTTAGAATATATCCAGATCCAGGTTCCTCTCTTTCCCCATCTCTCATGACAAAGCGTTTCGCCCTCCTCGCAATAACCAACAATTAAATTTCCTTTTGTGAGCAGCGATTGGAGAGAACAGACAGAGATAGAGAGAGAACGATGCCGCCATCAGCTCCGGGCACCCAGCGATCAGTTGAGCATCAGTTGGTGCGGTGTTTGATGTGATCACAAGAAAAATTTCGATTGTCATGAAACCCTTTGTTTAATGTTTTTATGGATTTTATTAATTTTGGTTTTATATATATATATATATATATTTTTAGTACATATGCACGTATGTTCTTATATGTAAATATTTATCTGTATATATTTGATAACATTTTGAATAAAATTACCTGTTTCATACACATTTTTTCTTGATCAGTGGCGATTGTATTTTATAGATTTTATACGCATCTAATATTTGTGTTTTTTTTAGCTTTATTTTATTTTTGTGTAGTTAAGCGTACATTTTTACAGATGTTTGTGAACCTATTGAACCTGCGAATGTTTAATACATTTTACTGGATTAGATAAGCTATTTAAAAAATATCTGTACTTACATTAGATTAACGTGAAGCATTTGTATGGAGCTGAGTTACAATGCAGATGCATATCTAATTGGCATGGACGAATATTAAGCTCTCAAACTGCACTGCCTCAATACTGGAAAAAGCATATGTGTATTTCAAATTTCGAATAGGGCTATGAATGATCGTGTGTTCTAAACTTTTTAATTTAACTTCTAATTGAATTATATGTTTAATGTTTTAACATGTTATAGAAAGAAAAACATTTCCGAGCTGTACAGTTCCTTAAGATGGCTTCATTGATAATAATCGAAAGTAAATATAATCTAATTGAATCTGTTCTAGAACGTCAAAATTGAACCTCTATCTCTCTGCGGTTTGTAAAATATAGTGAAGTTAATTTTAATTATATTTTCCAACCATATTTTTCTAATATGTTCGCTGGCATTCCTAGGTTTTCGTTACCATTTACATTTAATAAACTTCACATTACAACTCTACTCCATCATAACACTACATCAAAATATTTAAAAACCAACCTTAAAATAAATGTTTATTTAACGAATAACAATTTACAAAAAATTAATGGCAACGTTACAAAAAATAAATAATAAATAAATGCTTTTTGTAAAAATATGATGTTTAAAATATCCGGCTAAATACAACATTATATTTGAAACATCATTTCAATGCATGTCTAAGGTAGGAAAATTTAATTAAGTTTCTTATTTATCGGTAAGTTTCCTTATATATATATATATATATATTTTTTTTTTTTAGATTTATAATGATAACGTTAACAGCAAGTTGCAGCGGTTGTCATAAAATAATGAGTCTAGTGATTTGGCCTTTGATTTCCATCGCAGCATTTCATAATAAAATGGTAGCTCATGAACCTTAAATTATGGGGACGGAGAAACCTCCTTCTATGCATTCGATACCGAATGTGGTTACGGTTTATTAAGGCTTGTTTATTAATGTTACATCCTTTTGGGTATACAATCAAGGGTATACAAATCAAGCATTTAGGTCTTATTTAAATGGTATAGTTTTATGGTTTGCATATATTTATGGCCGATGCCTTTAGTATGGCTCTAGCAATGCTGGTTACATTTATAATTGTACTATTCCTTATTAATAATTTGTATTTGCGCCAACATAAATATAATATACTCGCTTCTTGCACACATCGATATCCATTGACTTAGTTTCTATACATACATGCATACATTTTTAGCACAAACAATATTCGATTGTTTGCTTATGAAAATAAATATACAAATGTATGTTTTTATGTACGCGTAAGTGAATTCACATAGTATAATCTAAAGAAGCTGTTAGATATTTGTTAATTCTGTATTTAAGATTTTAAAAGCACATTTATACATTTTAAATTCCATCATTCGAAATATCATTTAATTAGCTGTTGAAAATATATTGGTGTTGTCCCATTCCAGTTGATTGATATGAGAGAATCCATCTTTCAAAGCTAAAAAACAGAGGGGTAAGAAGTGTGCACTATATCAGTTAAAAATAATTTACCTTCGTCGTCTTCAGAATCAGAGTTCTCCGAGTCAGAGCTATCTTCAGAAACAGCGTATGTTTGCATTGGATTTATGGTTATAGTCAATGCAGAGTCATCCCAGATCAAGCCGTCATCAGCGATCTAAAACAAAATGTATGAAAAGAGGTATCCCAAGAAAACTATTTCCCTTAATAATTTGATTGGAATAATACAATCAAAATTCATTCTTTACAATTCTCTGCCTGTATCCTTTTTTTTAATAACCGGTTACATATGAATGTACCGGGCATAAAAGTTGTGACACTAACGAGTCGTGTCGCCTCCTCCTCTTTTATTTTTGATAACACAGATCTGGAACTTTTATTAACTCTCCGAAAAATACAATTGTCTGTGGCCATTAAGAGTTTAGACAGCGCGGCAGTAGCGGCGGATTGAGCCATTATGAGTGCGGATTGCTTAAGATTACAACTTTATCGTGACTGTTGAAGGGAACAGCTACGATGGGGTTTCGCCAAGCAGTATATGAATATACTGAACATACGGTGTATGAATATTTTAATATTGAGAAATCGGGACGGGGTTGGTTTAGCCACTGCAAATTAATTTCTTTATTGTGGCCATAATACTGATCCAATCGGATCCCAATTTGGTGATCTGATATATATGGGCATTCCCTACGAAATGGCGTTTTTAGTTTTCTTTTATCTTCATAATTGTAGATTTTGAGGTTTTCGCCCTTTTGCGGGGGCGGGGCTAATTTTTAAATACACTGGTTTCAGTGTGAGCATATAGCAGCCTGGATGCAAAATTTGGTGGCTCTAGCTCTTATAGTCTCTGATAACTAGCCGACAAACAAGACGGACAGACTGACGGTCGGACAGACAGACAGACAGACAGACATTTCTCTATCGACTCGTCTATTGATGCTGATCAAGAATATATATACTTTATGGGGTCGGAAGCGTTTCCTTCTGTGCGTTACATACAACCGTTATTCCCCACAAATACAATATACCCTATTTACTCTTGAGTACTGGGTATAATTAACCTTGCCTCCTTCCTTATCCACAGTTTTAAAGATAAAAGAAAACTAAAAACGCGATTCCGTAGGGAATAATCATATATATCAGATCACCGAATTGGGATAAGATTGAATCATTACTATAGACAGAATGAGGAAGTTTATTTGCAGTGGCTAAAGTGGCTAAACCCACCCCGTCCAGCAGCTTTTGTTGTTTTTTTCACATTCTCTCATTCACACTCTGCTTCTGCAGTGTGCGGCCTCTGCCTCTGCAGTGTGCGGCTCTACGGGAGGGGGGCGAGCGTTAAGAGTGTGTTGGCGTGAGAAGTTATCTAAATGTAGATGACAGATGTAAAAACAGATGACAGATGTATGTAAAATTTGACAAAAAACCGCTAAGGTACTGAGTACCGGGTATAAAAGTTGTGACGCGTAAGAAGAAGCGTCTCAATATATTTTATGTTCGTTCGGCAAACAACTCTTTTTTGAGTTCAAAATTTTAAGTTACATTTGTACCTGATCAATACGGACCAATACGGTTTTCTCCCTTTTTCGGGGGCGGAAGGGGTCGTGGCTCATTTTTGAAATACACTGGTTTCAGTGTGAGCATACAGCAGTCCGGAGCCAAAATTTGGTGGCTCTGGCTCTTATAGTCCCTGAGAACTAGCCGAGAAACAAGACGGACAGACAGACATGGCTCTATCGACTCGGCTATTGATGCTGATCAAGAATATATATACTTTATGTGGTCGGAAACGCTTCCTTCTGTGCGTTACATACAACCGTTATTCCCTACAAATACAATATACCCTATTTACTCTTCGAGTACCGAGTATAAAAAGAAGAAGCGACTCACACGTCCCTTCTCGTTTTAGCTGATTAGCTAAACTTATGTATTCAATTTTGTACCTATTTTTCCTTTATTTTTTATCCCTCTCCGAGATTGTGGGAACCGACCCTTATACTGCCTGAAATAAAATCGAACTGCGAAATCTCAATTGCCCAAAAAGGCAACGCAGCTCTTAATTTTGATAGAGAAAATCTAAAAATTATGAAGTACCTTACGTTGCAAACTTCTGCTCGTAGTCAAAAAGAAAATTCTTCCAAATTATGTATGTATTAGTTATAATTTGGAAGAATTTTTTTGACTATGAGCAGAAGTTTGCAAAGTACATAAGTTGAAGTACTTCATAATTTTTTTTTGATACAATATGACAATTTTTTTAATATGATAAAAGTTTAAAGATATTCAAACCTTTGGGCACGGCTGATGTCGATCCGTATATTTATGGTTATTTTTGATCCGAGCAATGGAAACTCCACAAAGTAAGATAACCAGAAAAACACAAATAAGAATTATCAGCATTGTTGGATGAGAGCCTTCAACTAAAACAAAAAATACCGTATTAGTACACACATTACAAATTATACGTTTTTTTTTAGTTATAGTTCGAAATTGACAAACCTTTGTGAACAATAGAGTGTATGTGTGGTTTCGGCTCCTGTATATCGTTGGTGTGTAAAAGTGAATATGAGAAGATTTTAGTATCTGAAACAGGAAAACGGTATTCATTTTTTGTATCACCATTTGTGACAAATTGTAATTCCTACCAGATGCCTGATTGACGTCTTCTTTTGTCACACCGCCATTCAGGAGATAAGCTGCTGCAGTATTGGGATTTCCAGCATTATTTACTTGCGACAAGGACGCTGGCTGTGGTGCATTTGTAGTCTTGGATAACGATTGTTTTGGATGAAGGACAGTCAGCGTAAGGGTGTACTCCGCACTTTTAAACTGAGAGCTAAGCTGGCCACAAGAAAGCTTAAACACCCGATTAAGATAATAAGCCGGCTTTTTGTTACTGTATATAAGGGAACGCAAAACATTCAGATAATTATGAATGCTGTCCATTCCCATCATTTCGACTCCATCCTTATTTATGTTGGTTTTTATATCCATTGTTGATGACAAAGATTCGTCACCATCTATTTGAATTTCTTCATGATCTGGATTTAAAGAGGGGAAAACAACCACGCTGCACGAATCTAAGTAGTCTTTTGCATTAATTTGTTTACTATTCTTAATTGACGTGGCAATGTGAATTTTATCCAAAATGTGAACTCCCAACTTTATTTCCTGATACGATACCAACTTATTAGAAGTCCCTGAAATGGATTAAATATATATGTAAATTGCGTTTTGGCCGATTATTTCTACGTAGCTATAAATGTTAACTTTTGCCCTAAATTATTACAAAGTTACTTAGGTTAGGTTAGCCTAGGCAGCCCTCAAGGCGACAATAATATGTCTCTTAATTACACCTTCCTTCAAGGAACCAAGCCAACTTTTTCTACCAAATATGCTTAGGCTTAGAAATAGTCTGAAATTATCTTTTTTTCAGAATTATTTTAAAAGAACATTGAAAAAACACAGTAAATACTTCTTTTCGATTAATTTTTTTTTAACTCAAATTAAAAAAAAATAATAATTTTTGCATTTGTAAGCTTAATATTTCCCAAACTGAAATGCATCAATTAACTTTTCAGAATGGCAATGTTCTTTACAACCAGATCTAAGTTACTTAAGTTTTGTATGAAAAACGAAACGCTACCCCTAAAAAAAGAATTTAAAAAAAATATCCGTTCTTTTTTGAATTTCTTAAAAAAAAAGTTCTGCCATAAAACCATACTTCATTAAAAAACGAGAAGGGACGTGTGAGACGCTTCTTACCCGGCACTCAGTACTACATCTGCACCTTACCGGTGTTTTGTCAAATTTTAAATTTTTTCTTCATCTGTCATCTACATCTACAACACTTCTTACACCAACACGCTCCTTTAGCTCGCCGCCCTTCACTAGACCCACACACTGCAGACAGAGGCAGAGGCAGCGCGCGCACACAAAAAAAAAAACAAATATGAACTGCGGGACGGGGTGGGTTTAGCCACTGCAAATTAATTTCTTCATTCTGGCTATAATAATGATCCAATCGGATCCCAATTTGGTGATCTGATAGATATGGTCATTCCCTACGGAAGGGCGTTTATAGTTTTCTTTTATCTTCAAAA